ATATATATATATATATATATATATATATATATATATATATATATATATATATATATATATATATATTCGCCCATTAAAAATTTACAAATCAAAATGTCTATATCTGTGGATTTTGTCAAATACATGTTCCACACTCTTTAATTTTGGTGACAATATTACCATTCAAAAATTATAAGTCAAAATGTCTATTTCAATACATATGTGGCTTTTGATGCGTTCATAGATTTTGATAGTGAGGGTAAGTTAAGGAGAATATAATCATTTTGAAGTCTTATGTTGTCCGTTAGATGTTTACAATTTTCTTCAAATCTAATTTGGATTAAAAGTCTTCATTATATATTCGATATGTTGTTCAAACTTTGAGAAATAATTTTCAATAAGAACTAGCAACATGTAGTTGAATTTTATACGGAACCGGTAGAAATAAAGTTATAAAACTGGATTAAACTAAACAGAATTGAAACGGACTGTTTTGCTGTACCACCTTACGACTACTTCACCATTGTCACCTACCATTCTAATTCCTTCTAAAGGATGGAACCTTAATAAGGAAAAAAAAATCAAAGAATACAATCACAATAACTATTTTGTTCTTAATCAAATATATTGTATGTAGAAGTTATCTTGGTGCAAAAAACATTTATGATGCAACGACTTTTGTATTAAAATGATTTATTCAGTAACTTCTCCGAAGGTATTGATTTTATTTTTTGATTTTTATTTATAGGTCCACTTAACTTTGATTTGGATAAAGGTCTGGATAATATCACATTAATACTGAATCCAACCACATGGACACAGGTTCACAGATTCATCATTATTCATTATTTTTATTCTTAAGCCAACCTACCTAGTATATTACTAAAATAAAATAATGATTTTAAGATTAATTGTATATGTTTAGATGGCCAATATCATATTCGTGGATATACCGGCTGGTGCGGGTTTTTCCTACGCTGAAACAAAAGATGGATGGATTAGCAGCGACAACATCCTGGCTGATCATGCTAATGCGTTCATAAAGAAGGTCGAACTAAAATTACACATAATCTAAATTTGATTACAATAATTCAATGACCTCGTCATATTTTATGATATGGATTAATAAACTTGTGTTTTACTTTAAATAAATTTCTTTTGCTTTTCATGTAGCTTTTGAAAAGGGAGTTGATATTTTTATTTGGCTTTTTTATTCGTTCACTTAATAAAATTATATTTTTCCTTTTATAGCCTTTTCAAACTAGGTTATCAAAATCTTTTTCTTAATTGTTATCAGGCATCTTATTTCGCCACTTATTTTGATTTGTTTCCTGATTTTTACACATTTAAACATATTTAACTCGTCCTTGATTTTGGTTTCCAACCTTATCCTTGATTGGTTTTAATTTTATTTTTATTTTCAGTTTTACATATTTGTTTTCTTTTAATTCTGATTTTGTTTATATATAACAAAAATAAAGTATGTATAAATAAAAAATATCTAAATTTTGAAGAAAAAATTAAATAATAAACTATATAAATAAAAAATATCAACACCATATCGTTGTACAATTACGAAAATCGGTTAAAATATATTTGTTTGATTTTCTTAAGTGCCACATACATTAATACAAATTTTCATTAGTGGAGTAATCTAAGAAAGCATCATATTCACAAATAAAATAACAGTCACATACCGCGAAACGAATATTGCGTTGTATAAGTTTGAACATTTTTATGATATACATTAGTTTGATTATATTTGTTTGACAACATCTTATTTGAGTAGGGTGAATGTTTCTTTACTGCTGCCATTGCATTGCGAGAAACGTTATTTCAAATTGTGTTACGTGACTGTTATTATTTGTGACCGCGACATCAGCTTACATACTGCTATTAATAATTATTTTTACTTAATAAATCAAACGAAGATTTTTAACCAATTCTGATATACATCGATTGCATGTCCGTATACACTTATATGATTTTTTACTTAACTTTTTCCGAAAAAATTTC